TCTTATCTTTCACTTCTATATGGGTGTTAAGGGCAGTCACTGCTTTTTCTCACAGGATGGATGTCTCTGTCTATCTAATGCAGGGGTAGGCAACCTTGGCTGGCTCAGGAATTCTGGGAGTTGAAGTCCACGAGTCATAAAAGAGCCAAGGTTGCCTACCCCTGGCCTAATGCATTGCCTCACCACTGAATTGCATTTTGTTAGATAGGATCCAATTTTGAGGACTCCATTGAGGACTACATGCTGAGTGTGCTTGGTCAGCCAGTTGCGAATCCGTCTGGTGATGGTGCTGTCTCTCCCACATCGTTCCATCTCACCAAGAAAATAGATTGAGGTCTACTTTGTCAAATGTTTTACTGAAGGGCAAGCATGCTATGTCCATAGGATTCTTGACTTTCACTCTCTTTTTTTCCATCGGCTGCAGTGCAGCAGAAGAGCAGGAAAGCCCCCCTATGCGAGCAGAATCGAATATATTTCTGCATTCAGGTCCAGTAGTTCTACCAAGAACAAGACTTCATTCCGTAGGCACACAATGCTGCTGGTGATGCTGTATGAACTATGAGATATTAGTGAATCGTTTTCCAACTCTGCATTTTGTAATTAAAATGAGAATAGTGATTATACTGCAGTCATTTGATGTCCTAGCAATTGGATCTCTCATTTTGCTTCCCAAAGACAGTGAATGGCTGGATTTGCCATTTTTTTCTGCTACACTGGCAGCATCTCTGGCAAAGTTGTTACCAAGAAAAGATAGACAGGATATTCTTACAAGAAATATATTTAAAAGAAGACTGGTGGCATCTTGGAAAAGAATGAAATAAATTTTGTTTTAAAACTTATATCAATACTATCTCACTCCCTGTTTTTAAAAAGATATACCAACCAGAAATGTAAAAAACAGTGCAGACATTTTGAAAGTATGGAAAATTAAGATTTATGTGTAGCATTTTACAACAAAGAAAAAGGGAATTTGAAATCATTTCTCCTGATGAATTCCTTAATGTTATATAAAGGGGGTGCATTTACTGTAGAAAAACTTAAATAAGCTGTTCTCAGAGGAGGAAAACATTTTCTTTATCAAACTGTTCTTCCAGGATATGAGATATCAAAAATATTAATGCAAATGCACATTATAGGAACATATTTATTAAAATATGCACAATATTTTCGAATGAGAAATCTCAAGGATGGTGTCACACTGATTCTTTTATTAATCTGAAATAAATATTGTTAGCCTCTGTACCCTAAATGCCTTATAGCTGCTCTGTTTGAATTAGATAACACATGACTGATTAGAATTTGATACAGGTACAAAAGAAGAGATAGAGATAGAAAAGGCTATTTAAAAACCACAGAAAATTATTGCTCTACAGTATTATTTTTCTTCATTAGAGGTTACTCATATTTTGAAATCTTTTTTTAATAAAAAAAAATATATCTCTGTATCGTGCTTGACTCCTGGGGACAAATCCATGCAGTTTCCTTGGCAATAATTAAAGAAGTGTTTTGTTCTTGCATTTTTGTTGGGGCTGAACCAAAATGGCTGGATCAAAAGTATCCAGCTCTGTGTCTAAGGGAGGTTTAGAACTCAGAGTCTCCTGGTTTCTACCTCAGTACCTTTCACCATTACACCAGAGTGGCTCTTTTCATACTCTAGGACCGTAATAAAAAGATATTCCACTGTAATAGGCTATCAAAAGCCAATAATATAACACTGATGAGCATTCAACATTGTACAGTATGCCCAATTCTTCAGAATATGAAGATTCTGATAAATTGATAAGCTGTTATCACTGAATTCCAGCAACTGCTAAGTTTCAAATGTAAGCTCTGTTTATACTACAGTTGTCCATGTTCAAATTTCTTTAACACATAACATCTGCACATTTTACTTAAAAAGCTAGAAGCCGTGTTTTTTTTCTTTCTTTCAGCTGGGAGGCGTGATTTCCTTCTGTTTATTGTTTGGGTAACATCCTAATCTAGTATGGGGGGGGGTGGTGTTGCTTTTTCACTGGGTAAAAAAAAATCCATGCTGAGGTACAAGCACAACTTACATTTTTTCATTGTCAAAAACCATTCTCTCTCAGTGACTGTAATCACTCTGCATTTCCTATGCTCCTGGAATGTGAATTTTTTTATCAGATTTGGGATCAGTACTGTTGTCTCTGCACAACAGACAACTCAAGCAGTGTTATTGTTTAGGAGGAGGTAGATTTTATATTTTATAGAATAGAGAAGTGAGCATGTTCCCATTACTGCTTACAACTGAAGACTATTCAGTTGCTACAGCAGAGGGATATGGGTAAAAAAATCTTAATTCTCCTATCTTTATCGCTAGAACCTAAAACTAAACATTAAACCTACCATTGCTTAATTTAAGGCTACTGTATTAAATACCCTTACCTCATGTTTTGGGACACAATGTACGAAATGTATTTTAAAAAAAGAACTGAGAAAAAAGATACAAAACAATCTAAGACAAAACAAAAAACAAAAAAACAAGTCTGATAGCACCACTTTCAACTAACAAATTTTATTAAAAGGCATTACGATTCTATTGTGCTTTTAATACAATTTGTTAGTCAGAAAAGGTACTATCAAACTTGTTCTGGTTTTTTTTGTTGTTTGTTTGTTTCTTGCATCCTAGACTAACATGGGTCTCCTCCTAAAATATGTCCAAGGGCATCATATTTTCATGGAGCCACTAGAAGAAGTCAACACATAGTGATTAGTTGAAAATGCCCAAACATATGTAACAAATTATAAAGATTATTAGGTATTTTTATACAGACAGACAGAGAGAGAGAGAGAGAGAGAGAGAGAGAGAGAGAGAGAGATACGCACACACAAATATATAGTGTGGGTGATGGGTGATATAGAAATTTGATGAATAATATATAATATATAGAAAAAGTATGTATGTATGTATGTATGTATGTATATATATATATATATATATATATATATATATATATATATATATATGCATACATACATACTTTTTCTAGTATGCAATTTTGTGAGAGTAAAGAAGCCTACTGTTTTCAAAAATGAATGAATTTGTGTATAATTTAATACTATTAATAGTAAGGGGGAGAGACAAGCAATCATCACAATGCAAAAGAGCATCACAAGCCACTCCCATGCAAAATTAAGGCATGCAAAGAGTACTGAGAAAATATAGAGAGAGGATGCAAGGAAATAACTGCAAGTTACGTTCCATTTGCCCAGCAGGAATAATTCTCATCTTCATCACCATCATTATTTTCATCTTCCTTGTATCTCATTAGAGTCTACTAAAAATTCAGAATCAAGACAGACTTCTAACTGTCTTGATGATATGAAAATCCAGAATTTGTTGTTGTTGTTGCTGTGGCTGATTTTTGCTTTAGTTCTTGTCTTTGTTTGTTTGAAAAAATACACTCCCCGGCCTATCATCTTAAATGTACTAATCTGAATTAGGAAAAAGGAGCAAAGACGAGTCGTCCATGGGGTCTGCAGTTTGGGCGTTCTTTTAGTATGGCTATTAATGCAGGAGAGATGAAAATGGAGTACTACTATGAACATGTCTGGTTAATATCATTTATGCAGGAACAGCATATTTCTTTGTAAAAATGAAAAGGTTTGTGTCTGGCGTGAGAAATCATGAGGTAGGGCAGTTCAAGTGAATATAGGTTTATTGTACGCTAACGCTCTCTACAAGAATCTGAATTACTAACAGTCAAAGCAAATTGGCAGTAGATAAGAATAAAAGGAATTCAAGGTGGGCTGGACTTAGGTCTCTTGTGGGCATGAAGGGACTCAAGTCTGATGACACACTTGACCCTTCCCTCAGGTTCAGCCTGGTTGTCTCCTACAGTTTGCCTGATAATTAGAAAACAAGATAAGGGATTGCAACAGGCCCCAGAAATTCCAGCTGATGTCTCCTTGTCCACTTGCCTGTGGACTTCCTCCCAGCAGTCTCAAGGTATAAACTCGTCACTGCCCTGAAACTGCCCACATGGAACTTGGGGGGAGAGGAGACAATAGCACTTCCAACCTCAGTACTGGGACTAGTAAAAGATAGGCTGCAGAGGAAGCACTTTCTTCCCAGCTGAGCTTAAGAAGCAAATACGTTAAGCTGGCTGTGTGCTTTGCCTAGAAATTTCCTGGCTGAAATGGGATTTACTCAAGTGCATAACTCGGCAAAATTTACTCTTTAAAAGTTTACATTATAAAGCCATATCAATGGTTACACTGCATCATTCTTTGAAAGAAATTTCCACATGACAATTCTCATAATCAAATTAAAAAAATTTTTTTTTCAGAATTTGATGCATCTCACAGGTTCATTTGCAATCACTGCTCCAACTCCCCCCCCCCCAGTTTTTAAGCTTAGGTTTGGTTTCATTTTTTTGAAAGTTGCCCTAAATTAAATATATTTTTTCTTAGAGATTTAATAGCAGGTACATAGATATGGGAAAAGAATCTGTTGGGACTGTGAAACTATAGTGAAGGGGGTCGCCACTATGGCTTATTTAATTTGTTCTCATGAAAAATGTTTTGCTGTAAGGGACAAATTTAAAATATGGGAATAAAATAACTGCATAATTAATACACCCCTCATTCAAGCACGGTAGAGCAGGGGTGTCAAACTGCTGACCCTTGGACTGGATGTGTCATGCCAAAGCTGCACCCACCCCATACGTCGCAACACGTCATATGATGTTGCAAGTTTGACACCCCTGCTGTAGAGCAATCTGATTTCCCACTTTCTATGCTGTTGCAAATACCCTAAAGCAGGGGTGGGCAACTATGGCAACTTTATGACCTATGGAGTTCAATTCCCTATCTCAGGAATGCTGGGAATTGAAGTCCAAAGGTCGTAAAGTTGCCATAATTGCCCACCCCTGCCCTAAAGAAAGGTGGGAGATGTAGTCATGGTCTCCTGACATTAAATCTACATTCATCTTCAAATGCTTCTCTATTAATTATATTTCATATATTTTTTTCCTTTGCAGATACCTTTATCTATGAATATGTCTACATTTCTTGCATATGATCAGCCTACAATAAGTTACTGTGGTGTACATCATGAACTTCTTGGTCATAAGTCCTATGACTCAAATGCACAGGAAGAAACAATGGAGACACCATTAGAGACTGAGCTGGATCTGAGCACAATCACAAGAGCAGCACGAAATCAGTGATCACACTCAGCTGACTTGTGTGGTCAGAAAGATAACCCTGAGTCACCACCATTTTTTTTTTTAATTTGTCACAAAGAATTAAATTAGTCCTTCTCCGGGGTGAATTGGAAACTCCCCATTCTGTTTAAAAAGTTACACATTCGAATACAGATTGTTTCAAATCTACGATTTGTAATTAGCTAAGTTGTGGGGGTTTTTTTACTTAAAAATGAAGTATGATCCTTAAAATAAATCTTTTCTTTTTTTTCAAAACTCATCCTACCTATCTGTAAAAAGGAAAGAAAAAAAAACTGTACAGAGCTGATGTATTTTTTCATATTGTAAAGTTTCAATATATTGAAATGTACTGGAATGTACAGGACCATGCTTTATTTTATTTTACAATTTTCAGTCTTTAAAATTTTAAATTAACAAAGCTTGTGTTATATTCAGAGTTTCTCAGATTTGTAGAAACTAGTTTGTTCTGCATTTATGCCCTCAAAACAAAAGCATCCTAAAATTCTGTACTGTGCAAATTAGACACAGATTCTATTATACAACACAATTCTTTCAACATGTTTTGGAAATAATCTATTAACCAAATTAGAGTTGGATTATTCAAACTCTTATAGACATGGTCTTCAGGAGGGGAAGGGAGCTACTAAAAGAAAAATATTTTTTAACAGTTCTCCAAATTAACTCTTGCCTTGAATTACAAATTGCTTTCTCAAGCAATGAAATGTAATGATAAAGAGGGATATTTTAACAACACTTTTCTGAATGAATGGCTTATTCTTTCATAACATCAATACAGTAATGGAATGAACTAAAAGAAGAAGAAAAAATACCACTAAAGGCAAAGACAGTAACCATAGCAACAAAGGTTTCATTAACGGAAAAAACAAAAATAATTGGAAGGGTCAGCCTGGATATGGTTTTCTTTAGTTACATTATAAAGCAAAGTGACAGACCCAACAGGTAATATAACATGACAATCGCCCATAATGATTAAACATGTTGTAATAATATATATTGTCTGCAGGTATGTTTTAGGGTTATTTCATCATTGCCTAAAATATGCATAGGCCAATATGCACACGTCCAAGGTTTTCCAAAAGAAGGAACAAAGGATGGATGGATGGAAGGATGGAAGGAAGGAAGGAAGATTTCAACATACAATGTGTGAAAAACCAATTTCTAAGAGGTGTACTCCAAAGAAACTGACACACGTGCCTTGCACAAGAGAGATAAAGTTAGAGCTAATCACACATTTCAAGTTCGCTTTGCATTTACACTGACATGCTCATTATCTGAAAGGTAAGGAAGCCATCTTCTAAGTGTTCCCTGGTGGGAACAGAACATAATTTATTTTTACACAAATACCCCAAAGCTTCATTTCCAGGGACATTCTAAAGCTCACTTAACCGGGGGGCTTCTGCCACAAGGCAGGCACACGTTCATTTAGATCAGGGGTTTTCAACCTTGGCAACTTTAAGACTTGTGGACTTCAGCTTCCAGAATTCCTCAGCCAGCTTTGCTGGCTGAGGAATTCTGGGAATTGAAGTCCACAAGTCTTAAAGTTGCCAAAGTTGAGAACCCCTGATTTAGATCTACAAAGTATGAGCATAAACATTTTCCCCTTTAAATGGGAAGGGTCGTTTTAATTAGGGCTTCTGGTTTATGCATGTAGTCCCTGTGTCATTTCACTAACTTTAAATATTTTTTATCATCTATTGTTTCATGTTCAGCTGTAAGCTAATGTGTACAGTAGACTCCCCCCACACACACACACACCATCTCCATTTTTGATCAAAGTTGATAGAGAGTGGAGTCAAAGAAGACCCCTCTCTGTTTCTATCTATTACTACTTTAAGAGGAAAGTAGTATAGGTAGTCTTCAACTTATGACCATTCGTTTAACAGCCATTCAAAATTATGTCAGCACTGGAAGATGTGGCTTACAACTGGTCCTGGCACTTACAACTATTGCAGCAGCTCTGCAGTCACAAGATCAAAATTTGGGCATGGGACAACTGGCATTTTTTAACAATGGTTGCAGTGTCCTGAGGTCACATGATCACTATTTACAATCTTCCTCAGGTCCAATGTGTTGCTCACACTTGTTTAGAATCGCTTTTCCTCTGATGGTCAGCAGCAGTCTTTCTTCTGCCAGTCCCAAGGTGGCTACCACCTTCCCGCAATCGACAAGGGCCCCCTCTTGGCCCGTAACCTCTACGGGGTGACTTTCAGTTCTTTTTGGACCCCCAGCAGGAAAAAATCAGGTGTGGGAATCAGAGCCCTGCTTTCCTGCGCCTGCTTTACCACAGTGACGAAACTGGCATTTTGTAATGATAGTTACGGTGTCCTGAGGTCACATGATCATTATTTACAATCTTCCCAGGGACCTTCTGACAAGCTAATGGGGGGGAGTCAGACTCACTTAACAATCACAATTCACTTAACGATTGCAGTGATTTAATGACTCCAGCAAAAAAGTCATAAAATTGAGCATGATTTAAGAATCATATTACTTAGTAATATGTGGGAATAACGAAAATATTAGAAATTAAACAGCAGTTGTAAACACCAATGAATGATTTAAAAAACATTTTTGCATAGCAGATCAGATTGGAGGGGATATAAAATGTCTACCCAAAAAAAATTGTTCATGAATTCTTGATTAGTTGCGAGTGATTAAAAGCTTTAAAACTATTAACAACACTGTTTATTAAAATACTTATTACACCACTATCACTTCACATCATAAAACAGAAGATGTATCTTATGGTGATCTCATTAAGGAAAAAAGATTCAAGGATTCTTGGGTTTTCCAAACTAGAGGGACAAAATTTCATATAATAGTAACAATCCTTCTTTTTATAAATAAAGATAAATTTAATCACAAATCTATTTTTCTCAGTATTTCTTCCAAGTATTTTACAACGACTTCATCAATGGAATTAAGAAATATGAATTGATTCCTTTGTATAAAGCAACTCTTATTGGGGAAAAAAATCTTCAGAATATTGTTAAAAGAAATGCAAGCCTACAAAATGTCAAAAGAGAATACATTGTATTATTTATTTAACATCCTAGATTTTTGTAACATATTTTGCATAAATTATTTGCTATTCAAAATACTTTATTTGTCATTTTTAAGACTCATCCTAACTTCATCTCTTCAGTTTCCAATTTCTCCAGACATTGTCACATACAATCCTTGGAATTCTTTCTGGCCACTACTAGAAATTGGACACACAGTTCCTATCAACTGATGGCAAGACGTTTAGGAAAACAGGGAGGTATTTCTTGGGAGAGGTGTGGAAAATTGTTAAAAACAAAGAAGCCAGCTCATTCTTCTTCATTGTCCCATCAAGGTTCCCAAAGATGTAACCTAGAACAGGGGTCCCCAACTCCTGGGCCATGGACCAGTACTGGACCTTGGCATGCCAGCAACTGGGCCACACAAACAAGCAAAGCCCCATCCGTGAGATGCAGGCAGCACACAAAACCACGCCCCCTCCAGTCCATGGAAAAACCTCTCTCCACGTAACTGGTCCTTGGTGCCCCAAAAGTTGGGGACCTCTGACCTAGAAGCTCTGTGTAACAAAAGGTTAGCAATGCCTCAGGTTCTAGTCTAAGAGTTCTTAGATTTCTGATTTGCAGAATTAATTGAGAAAAAAAATTGGTCTATACCAGGGGTGTCAAACGTATTGGGCCAATTTTGCCATTGCCGGCAATGGGGTGGGCACGGCATCCAGATGACGCATCCAGCTTGTGGGCCAGCAGTTTGACACCCCTGATCTATACTGTATATTAACTTTCAGGAACAAAATTATTTTTCTCGCAGTTACGAAATTTTAGAAGAAAATGGCCTTTCTTTGCATTATGTTAAGTAAAAATATGAATAACGAACAGATCTGTTATTGCATTCCTGGCTTATTGTTATTGTTCTGTGTTGCTCACATTGTATGTTATCTTCTGCAGACACTAGCCACTAAAAATAAACTGGTTTTAGTCCTACAGTTAATATGGGAAAACTTAGGTGTAGGGTTAAAATTACTGCAGCTATGTGGAGAACTCCAGGAGAAAATCTATGCGATTACTAAGAATCAACAACAACTTGATGGTCCATAATCAACCACAAGGAGAATATTGTTCTATCACTGAAAGGTCTTAAGAAGAAATTGAACAGACATTTGTCCTGAATGGTATAGGACAGGAGTCTTCAAACTTGGCCCTTTTATGACTTGTGGATTTCAACTCCCAGAATTCCTCAGCCATGCACGCTGGCTGAGGAATTCTGGGAGTTGAAGTCTGTAAGTCATAAAAGGGCCAAGTTTGAAGAGCCATGGTATAGGGTCTCCTTCTTGAGCAGGGAGTTGGATAGAAGACTTCCAAGATCCCTTCCAACTTTATTATTCTGTTATTTCTGTCTATAAGTATATATATTTTTAATGTTTATTAACTTTTTTGGCCGTAGCTTGTAGATATCACTACTTATTTTGAACACAACAAAGATTTTACCACATGGGCTTCTGTGCACACATAACATGGCAAGATAAACCAAGGCAGTTGCAAGAACACAATAGGAAAAAAAACCAATGCATCACAATTGTATGTAGAAAAATAGACTCCCGAATCTATCTGATCAAATAAGTGTGTGTCTTGCATGTAAGAAACAGCAATAAAGAGCAGATGGTTATTGCCTTTTCAGCTCAGATTTGCTCTTGTGTTTTTACATTTTCAACCTAACATGCAAAAAGGGAGCCTGAGCATCTACTGTATACTTACGATGCTTTTCATTTGCAATGTAACATCTGTTTTCATTGAATGCTGCATTACAGGCACAGAAATAGAAGCACAGATCACAGCACTCCGTTCTACTATTTTTTGCAAAATACAGAATAGACTTTATCACAAAAATTAAAATGAGGACATTTTGGTTAGAGAAAAAACACATAAACAACATATCAGCAAACCTTTAATAATTGTTTGATGCATGGGAAGCATCTGCCCTTTCCAGGAAAGGGAAAATGCAGGAATAGGAAGAAATGGATAAAATACTTAAGAATGTTTAATGCTTCATTCATCAAATGTATGCTTTTAATTACATTTGTTTTTCCAAGTCATTATAAGTTGGCTATATAAAATTTTCTAAAAATGGAGAGCGATGTTTTTCAAACTTGGCAACTTTAAGATTCTTAAGTTTTTAAGATTTCAATTCCCAGAATTTCCCAATCAGTAAAGTTGCCTAAAACACTGATAATTTTATTGCTCAAAAACAAGGAAGAAAAATTTATCCTCTTTTTCAAGCTGTATTTATATGGAATATAAATTAAGAGAGTGTAAAGGTAAAATAAAAATATAATTGAATTTATTTACATATAAAACATACTAATTTTTATTATACAACTTTCCATATACAGTAGGGTGGGATAGCTAATACCCTAAGATAAGTGTTGGACAAGTTTAGCAACTTTAAGGTGTGCGGACTCCAGCAAGTTGAAGTCCACAAATCTCAGAGTTGCCAAGGTTGAGAAACACAGCTCTAGAAGTCAGAATTAAAATTCAAAACTATCTGGATAAATTGGATAAATTGTCATAAAGTAGTAGGTTGAAATTTAACAGGCAAGAGCAAAGTTTTCACTTAGAACAAAATAATACACAAGAATACGATAGGTGTACTCGAGCTGTATTTTTTTAAAAGATCTGAAAATAGTGATATAGGGCAAACTGAATAGGAATCATAAATAGGACATCATTGAAAAGAAAGAAATTGCAATTGTAGGCTGTGTCACCAGAAATATAGATTCTAAATCAGAGGAAATACAGATAGTCCTCAACTTACAAATGAGCCCAAAATTTCCGTTGCTAAGCAAGACAGTTGTTAAATGAATTTTGCCCCATTTTAAGACATTTCTTGCCAAGATTGTTAAGCGACTCTCCACAGTTGTTAAGTTAGTAACATGATTGTTAAGTGAATCTGGCTTCCCCATTGACTTGTCAGGAGTTCCCAAAAGGTGATCACATGACACCGGGACACTGCAACTGTCATAAATGTGAGTCAGTTGCCAAGCGTCTGAATTTTGATCAAGTGACCATGGAGATGTTGCAGTGGTCATAAGTGTGAAAAATAATCTTAAGTCACCTTTTTCAGTGCCCTTGTAACTTTTAACGGTTGTTAAATGAATGATTGTAAGCTGAGGACTACCTGTAACTATATTTTTAGTGCTATTCTGCTTTAGTCAGAGCTTACCTCAAGCAAATAATGGACCTAGGTCTGGGGACCATACTTTAACAAGGATTCAGAGAAACTGAAACAGTGTCAGAAGACAAGCACTATGAAGAAAGATGGAAGGATTTGATATATTTAGCCTTAAAAATGTGAACTGGGCAGAAATACAGCTGCCCATTATATGAAAAGTTTCACAGCTTGTTCTCTTTCAATTTAGAATGCAGGATGCATAAAAATGAAGCTTTAGTTACAGGAGACCAGATTCTAACTAAATGACAGAAAAAGCTTCTAGTGTGCTTTTTGGATGACATTAAAAAATACTACAACAAGAAGAAATAAAGCAATACAATAACAAAAAGTATGTGTGTTATATTTATATATGAGCTTCTAAGATACCCTCTTCCTTCAGCCGTAAAACCTCTTGAAAAGAATCACAGATACACATATACAGTTGCTCAATTTATCCCTCCTTGTAAAAGAAGTGATTAAAAACATCTATTAAAACACTCTCATCCTTTCTTCATTGATCAAAGAAAAGGTTGCTAGGTAACTCTTCAAGGTTTTCCTCTGTGCTCCAAATTCAGGGAATAAAAAACTTTTGCAATAATACATGTTTCTTTTCTTTTTGCTCATCCAAAATTCCTTTCCTTCATTTCAAAAATGGAACATGGATGAATAGTCCACCTGATCTGAAAGAAGTATGAGAAGTACGGAACGGTGCTGTTCTTCTGAAACTTAAGTAGTCCAGCATTTTATAATAACAGCTATTGGAAATGAATCCATTTGGGAATGAATGCATTTGGATCAGTTTACTGCATGTCAAGTGTTTCCTAACTTCAGCAACTTAACCTCTGAAGTTCAACTCTCAGCATGATGGCTGAGGAATTTTGAGAGCTGAACATCCTAAAGCAGGGGTCCTCCAACCCCTTTAAGACTTGTGGACTTCCTCCCAGAATTCTGGGAGTTGAAGTCCACAAGTCTTTTATTTTTATTTTAACCAACAAGACAAAACAGAATAAAGGAAAACATAACACATATACACACACAATATATACTCCTCCTTTTTTTACAGCAATGATGTAACGGTAATCTAATATTTACATTTCCCCCCTTATTCTTCTTTAGAATATTTGTCCTTATAGCCCCATTATTTCTTATTTACATTTTTCTTCCTTCATGTTCTACTTTTTACTAAGAATAATTCATATTATTATTATTATACATTATACACATATTTTCACTTTTGACCTTTCCATATTTATTCTCTATTGTTTCTAGTCTCCAACCAGTCATACCACTTGTTCCATGTTATATAGTACTCTGTGTCTTCCTTTTCTTTTATCTCTTTTGTTAATTTGTCCATCTCAGCACAGTCCAGGATTTTTCTTATTACTTCTTCCTCTGATGGTATATTCTCATTTTTCCAGCACTGTGCATATGCTATTCTTGCCGCCGTTATTATATGTAAAATTAAGTACCATATTTCTTTACTATATTTTCTATTTAAAATACCCAACAAAAAGATCTCTGGTTTCCAGTCTATGGGTTGGTCTATTATTTCTTGGATCCATTTTCTTATTGTAGACCAGTATTTTTTTGCAACTGGGCATGTCCACCATAGATGATAATATGTTCCATGTACTTTTTTACATTTCCAGCATGTTGGCGAATTATTCTGGAACATCTTGGCAAGCTTTGCTGGTGGAAGATGCCATCTGTAAAACATCTTCAACTGGTTTTCCTTGAATGCTGCTGATATAGTCAATTTTATATTTATTTCCCATATCTTTTCCCATTTCTCCAATTCTATATTATATCCGAAATTTTTTGCCCATCTAATCATTGGAAGTCCACAAGTCTTAAAGAGGCCAAGTTAGAGGACCCCTGTCCTAAATCTGCT